GCATCAGTATTACCTTGTCAGGGGATGTTGGAATCAAGATGGTGTTTTCCAGCTTGGGGAAGGGTTGTTGGATGTTGAGCAACATGCTTGACTCAAGCAAACTTGTAGACCTGAAGTTAGAGACGTAACATTTGCATTATGTAATATGGAACCATGCAATAAAATAGAGTCATTATTCAAACACATGCACAATTAAAATAATTCCAATCCAACCTTTTTCTCTTAAGCTTAGCAGATAAAGACGACATGTTGGAAAGGTGCAAGTTCACTTTATGGTCATTTTAGAGGCCGTAGTTAGTGGTAGTGTTGTATTGGACTGCATTATACTGATAGATCTATCTATCTAGTTTCTAATAAGTTATTAGAAATGTAACATATTATATAAAGATAGTTTGTAGCTGAGATATTTATCATTTTGTATTATGATGTCAAGTTAATGTAAAGACGCAAATGTGGCAAACACATAAAATTTGCCCCATTTGTGTATTTTAAAACAAGCATTATTGAAATATATTTTTGGGGGGTTTTATTGCCTTTAACTGATATTGACAGCTGAAGAGTGACAGGAAAGCAGGGACAAAGAGGATGACACACAGAAAAGGGCTTGAACCCATGGCCACTGCAGCAAAGACCCATGAGGTACCAGGTGAGCTACCAGAGAGCCTCGAAAACATTTTAAAAGTTGTTTGCTTGTTGTCTTGCGGACAGACAGAAGGATGAATTCAGAATTCATTGTAGTTATTCTGGCATCCTTTAAGATACATATGAGTAACGCATGGTGAAAATGTGCCTCTCGTCGCCTCTTGGCTGTCCCCGCCACCCACATACTGGCTCACTCCCCGGTGTATCTAGATAAAGTCGGTAAGAGAATGTATTGTTTGTGTTTTGGCTAAGAGTGCTTGTACCTTGCAGTTTCCTTGTCAGTTACAAAAGTAGGTGTGGCAGCTAGAGGGCTACAAAGGTTCTTGCGGATGTAGATCTTCTCAGTGGAGGCTGCACAGTTGACCGATTTCTCTCTGGTGGTCACTTCCACAGGTTTCCTCTCACACTGCACAGCTAAAGACAAAACACAGGCATCAGACCCTACTTATGCAAATCCCAAATAACATCAACAACTGTATATATGGAATAATACAGACTCTTACAATCCTGTTTCATTCCCAGAGCTATGCAGCGCTGCAGTCGACAATACTGGCAGCGGTTTCTGTGGAGCTTGTTGATGGCACACTCTCCAGAGCCCCTGCATGTGTACACCAGGTTCTTTCTAATGCTGCGTTTGAAAAAGCCCTTACAGCCCTCACAGCTGACAGCTCCGTAATGACGCCCTGAGAGCGGAAAGAGAGAAAGCATCAGGATGGGGACTGCTTACTCATGTGTGTTACTGGAAAATGATGATAAAGCAAATCAACACTTTCTACCTGAGGCCTTATCCCCACAGACAACACAGTACTCCACAACTGGCTTCACAATAGACTGGTCCGACCCTTCAGTCACAAACTGAAAAAACAAAAGAAGAAAAAAACAGAGACAATGGAGTTATTTCATACAGCAAACATTGCTATAAGTCTGCCTAAACATGTTCAAGCTACAGTCAGTCAGACCTTTCAGTAACTTGTTACTTGTCACCAATATCCTCTGGCAATACCTGAATCTGCTGCCCAGCCAGTTCAGGGGAGGCAAACAGCAGCTGGTTAACCCCAGAGCCATCTGGAGACGTGAGGATCACCTTATTGGGTGAGCCTTCCTGCTTAGTCAGGATCACCTTCCCACCAGGGGAATAATCAGCGTTTGCTAGAATAAACTGCTGCTTTCCCGGGGAAGATGGCTCAAGTGCTGTGACGATCTGGATCTTCTGACCAGTCTGCTGATCCGTTACAATCTATCAGAAAAAAGAAATAAATCAAATCAAATCATTAAATACTGGCTGTACATGCAGAAGGAGTGTGGGAGAAGTGAAGCTAACGATATGATAACAAGGTACGTTTGTGAGTAAGTAAATGAGTACTAAGGTGAACAAACATGTGACCTTTACTATTAGCTATGCTTGGAACTATTTTTGCCACAATTACATGTGTAAGCGTGTGAGAGTAACGGTCTCTAGTGGTGGACTGGCAGTCACATCACCTGAATTCTGTGTCCTAATGCCATGCTGCTGTCTGCTGACACAAGTTGAATCCTTTGCGTCTGTCCATCCATTCTGATACTGCACGCACCTTCTTCCACTGCTCTTCACATCAGTGCCCCATGAGGCTCACACACCTGCAAAGAGAGCACATGTTGTTGTTTTTTATTAAAGCAAATTACATCTCAGGTGAGCGAGTACCGTTGAAGACCGACTTTCATTTTCTTACTGTCATAGTATTTCTCAGTACTCTGCAACTCCCCTACCCTGTCAAGTCACTAAAAATGTCCAAAAACAGGTGGGGACAGAGGTTTTTACCATACAACAGGAGTAAATAGCACTTTTGTTGGGGACTATTTAAGCAGATTTGTACCCATGAGGTGCACTGGATGGTATTAACAGCCAATGGTGTATGTGGGATTGATTCAAAAGAGACTGCAGTGCCCAGTTCAATGCTATAATACCAATACTTGTTTTGTTTTTTTAATATATATTTTTTGGCCTTTATTTGACAGAGATAGCTGAAGAGAGACGACATGCAGCTAACCGGGCACCCACCAATACTTGTTAACAGGATCACTTAGCTGTTTTTGGTAGTTTAATTGGCAAAAATTCAAATATCAAATATCACAAGCCTTATCTGTTTATGTGTGTTTCAGATCTGGGTAGAAATAAGATCCTATACAACTTTCACCTCATCTGTAAATAGCATTTACTGATGCGTGTGGCGGGAACCAGAGCTCAAATCATTTCCAACATACAAAACCACAGCTCAGAGCTGTTATCAAGATAACCACTAAGAGCGAACAAGTCTCTCAAACACTTCACTAACGTTACAACTAACTGTTACTCGTATCCGTCTCGTCCTGCTCACATTCATTTACCTCTCCCTTACAGCTAGAACATACATCTGCCCACAGCTGGATCGATATTTACAAACACACCTAACCACATCAGACTGAGCCGTAAAGAACAAGAGTAAAACAGACACACATCTGATTTATTACACTGCATGTCACTTTCTGATGTTAGTCCGTGGCCTGTGCTAAGTAACGCAGCGTTAGCCGGCGCTAGCCTGTAACTGTACAAATGGTGGCCTTGTTATAAAATACAGCTTAAAATCACTTTATAGTGACGGCTAATGAGCGGGAAAGCTGCGGCAGTGGCACAGACAAGCTCCGGACAGACAGCTATTTAAAATCGATACGGAAGATAAAGGTATTTCTTTTCCTGTGGGTGAAAGGTCAACATTGAAGGGTTAAAGCACGCCAGGGTTCAAGGCCCATGACGCCGACTGGCAGACTCGACCGCGGGACTCCGGTTTGTGACAACTGGGCGAGATAAAAACCGCATTAATCGTTGTTTTTTCCGACTTCCACAGCAGTCCGGGTTTTTCACAAGATGGCTCACGACTCAACATTACAACCCGCCGCTGTCACATTCAGGCTTTACTCGCCGATGTGGCTGCTCGGTTGAACGAAGACCGAGTTAGCGGCGCTAGCTCGGCAGCTAACACCCGCTCACGGTAACACGGTTAGCTGCGGCGGCTAAGCTGGCTGGCTAACTAGCATGTCCGCTAACATGGTCACTGTAGCCGAGATGCTGCCAACACACACACACACACACACACACACACACACACACACACAACGTTAGTGGAAAGAACCAGCAACACACACCAACAATATCACATACCCGCGATTTAGTTTCTGTTCTTTAAACGCGCTGTTCTCCGGGTGACAGTGCTAACGAGCTAGGCTAGCTGTGTGCTAATGGCTGCCTCCCTGCTGCAGAGCTCCTGAACAACTCCCTCCCTTCCTGTGTTACTGCCCCTCGGGTCTCTTTCACCAGCCTCTCCTGCGTCAACGGGGGTAAATATTTCTTACCTGCCTGGCGGCTGTTGGGTCGGACGATTTAAAGTCTTCAATAAATTAATATTTGAGTTGTTCGCTGCAATTGGTGGGAGGGTCAGAGTTCGTGACCTTTTTTCATCAATAAACTACTCCTGCACATGCGCAGTTGGGTTCCCGCGGCTCATAGCCTTCCCCAGTGTGAGTGTGTGTGAAACCTGTCAAAATGTACATCGGTTGTTTGTTTTTGTTTTTGTCACAGCTGTAATGATGTACGTGTGGAAATCAGCACGATGCCACACTATTTTACTTTTTAGAGAGGATAGGCTGTTACATCAAGACCACAGTTCAGGCTTCATTGTTTCAAGTTGATAATATAGTGAGCAATGCCAAATCTACATACTGCTGTTCACTGTAAACTCAAATCCCCACAGTTGTGTAATTCCTGCACAGTAACTAACAGTAACCACATCCAGTAGTGCCTCATTACAGTGAGTATTTATGTATTCCCCCATTCGCTGACTGATTTTACAATATTTGAATGCACAGTCAAATAGTGGTTCCCTCTTTGTATAGGTCAGTGGTTCCCAACCTTTTCCCATATGTATAATTCATAATATATTTAATGCACGTACCAAAGTGGTGCAGTAAATGCAACAACTGCAGATTTGTGTAACATGGGGAATTTGGAAGAAATTTGAGATTATTTCCTGTGAATATTACATCAGAAATGAGTTTTCCTCATAATTGTAGGAAACATTTGTACACAGTTCTGTCTGTATTATGAATAAATCTGTTTTAATTTGAACAATCATACATACCTAATAGTATGTATAATTATGTGTGTTTCTTCTCCCTGACACTTGGCCATTGATCTATTAGCGCTTTGATTTTAACTGCTTAACTTTTCTAACGCACTCCTTAAAAACCAGAAGGCCTCGTGACCCCCCTGAAACGTTGGCGACCCCTAGTGGGGGTCCCAACCCCCAGATTGGGAAACACTGGTAAAAGGTGACCATGACACAAAGCACAGTAAAAACAAAAATTTATTTCAGTGACAGAATTTAACCAGTAAAAGTGAGATTTAATACAATTAATTTACAATCCTCTATATTTAAAGAGGCTATCTGTGTAGGGATATTATCTATGTACAGTCATTTGAGTCACTTAAGTGCAGTACACATTATGGTACAGTTGTGTTCAAACAGTGAATATTCCAGATACAAATTAAGACTGTAGGTTAGTTTCAAAGCTACAGAAAGGCTTAATAATGTGAGGTGATAGTTTCCTACACAAGCATGATAAGTGCACATTGTGTGTTCTATAGTCAACTTCACAAGTGTAAAATAAAGTAATTATTAACATCCAGAAACATCTATACGATTTGTTTTGACCTGGAAAAATTATTCGGTAAATGTGGGTCAAAATGTTATGACAGTATTCATTACAAATCTACCAACATTGGGCTTTTATTAACGTATCTGTGCAGATTACTAAAACTAATAAACAAAAGTACCAGTCTAAAATAGCTAGAGATGATTGTGGTACGATTCTTAAGTTGTAGCTACATGATTAAAAAATCCAAAATAACATGGGTAATTCCCACCTCCACAGGAGTGCTCTTAAAACAATGTAAAAGGTAACTAAATGACAAAAGCAATGAAATACATTTGGATTTTATGTCAGTGGAACTAATGCGGTGTCTCCAGATGCTTTTTGTAGAATTCAGAGAGCACTGAGGTAAAACATATTTATACGCAAGGGCACAGCTACACACACTGTCGACTGATATTAAAGCACCGTGGCCTCCTTGAATGAGTCGATCCATCTGTTAAAAAAAAAGAAGAGATAATTAATCATCGCTGTCATGATAACATGCAACAATAAGTGACTCCCCTCTTTATACTGTACCTCTGTGCTGTTTGGACATCATCAGCTTTAAAAATGTAGTAAAGCGTGTTTTTGTGGTAAAGTTTAAACTGTAACTTTTGTGATGAATCCACTTTCAACATAAACCCTAACAGGGGCTGACTTTCTAGGGCTGCAACATCCTGCATAAAGACACAATAAAAGATCAATGTTAGATGGACATGAAATCTATTCCCTTTGGTTCAATTATAACATGACATTGGACTTTCATTGAGAGAGACCTTACCTCACTTGCAGCATACGTGTACAGGACTTTGTCTTTGATGACGAACCACAGCCTCTTCCCCTGCTTCTTATTGCCCTTTGACCTCTGCAGATACCCACTCATGGAGGAGTCTGTGTTTGCTGACACCTGAAACAAGTTAAACCCATCTGATGAGATATCAGGTGATTCATTCATCACTAGCAGTGCCATCTTAATCAGGGCAAAGCACCAGTCACCTCTTTGAGGGCCGCAGGTATTTTCTTCTGCCTCCTGGAGAAAGCAAAGGTAGCTCTGTTTCCAGGGGAGACAGCTGCTGATAGGGCTCGCTCACCTGATGAGCAGAAATGAGGAACGTGCAGTTGTTTAATACAGAGAAATGCATGCTGTAGAATACAAGGCGTGCCTATGTCTAATCCACACTGTTTCAGCCTTAGACAACATAAAAATATGAGGATGAGATTCATTTGGTTTGGTTCAGAATGCAAAACAAGTAAAGCCAGACTTACTTTTCTGCTGCTGAAGAACAACGAAACACTGGTCACACACTCGTGCTAGCTGGTTCTTTAGGTATTCAAGACAGTATTCTTGGGAGGAACAAGACTGACACACCACCTGATGGGATGATAAAGCAAAAAGTGTTATTTCCTTTCCTTATTTTACATTTTAGCAATGTTTTTTTTAATCATTAAATAAGCCTTTTGCAGCTTGCATCTGTTACCTTACCTTTCCACATGCACGGCAGTGATGTCGCCTCCATGTTAAGGTGAACTCACAGGCACAGATCATACACATGGTGGTCCGTGGGTCTGGGATCCAAATAGGGGCTTTGGATCCCAAAAGGGCACCATCATCACAATCGCTCAGCTCTGCCTGAATATAAAAAGAAAACAGGAGTTAAGCCTCATTGTTCATACATACACTATAAAATAGACTTTTTCTGTCACTGTAAGACAGATATACTGCTAACAGGAAACGTATGAAGGTCACTTTTTAAAAATATCTTACCTCTTCTAGCGACTTGCCAGTTATAAAACTGATCTTCTTCCTGGTGTAGTCACTGATCGCCTTAGAAATGGCCTCGAGCCATTCGTCTCGCTCTGTGGCTGAACTGCAGAGGGAAAAAGTAATAACACACTTACACTGTATTCACAGACCTATGCAGTACTTGAAAAAACACAAGATTACTCATGAAATGATGTTTGATATTAACATATATTCTTAAATTACCAAGAGATAGCTTTTGTTTCTGATAATTACCTTGCAGAGAGAGTGAAGGAGCGCTCCACGCTCTCAATGTTCAGCTCATTCTGATAGGCCTCTTGGCTTGGTTTGCTAACCTGTAATTATTTTCATTGTGAGCAGTGATATATATATATATATATATATAAGATAAAGACCACAAGATAATAAAAAATGAAGTCTCTCACCTTCATCCCAGCCAGAGATAACATGTTTTTTAACTTGAACTGGCCTGACTGAACAGGAGTGGTGTAAAGCAACGTGTCGTTAAACTAAAGGAGAAACGACAAAGAAACACAATTTCTAACAAGATAACGAGAATTAGGATCTCTGAGACTGAGGCATCTGATCACAATCAAAGCTTCACAGAACATATTTTGGACTAATTGAAGATAAGAGAGTGTGAAATGAGAGAAGGAAGAGAAGGGTATTACTGTACCAGGAAGAACTTTCTGGGCTGCATGACCTTCCTGGACAACTTCTTCAGAATTCCTTCTTTCAGGAAGATCTGGAGTATAAAATGTCATAGGAGCATATGAAGTCATGTTTGCTGTTTTGCTTGTTTGATTTAATGACTCTTGAACTTAAAAATTCTGCAAATACTTTACATTTAAAAGATCAATATGAAATAAAAAACCCAAAAGATCTTTATGGCCTTACCCGCCCAGGTTGGACTATCTCATGGTGGCCGTTCAGACTGCACTGCACCTGCATCAGCTTCTGGAAGTTATCCTGAGAGGGAAATAAAGTGGACATCAGTAATGTGCGGAGATGTGCATCAGAATAGATGCCTGATTCCTTGCTGACTCTCACCCCTTGCTTCATGATGTCGTTGGCATGATTGGCTACCTCTTTCACAATTGCAAGGGCAGCTGAGTGGATAAAAAGGTGTACATCAAATATATGACGGACATTGTTTTCATTCCACTGACAGTCAGGTGAGTTAACAGTAAATAGATATAGAAAGACCCTTGGTTTACCTTGTGTGTCCTTGTAATCGTTTGAGTCTTCAGACAGGTTTTTCAGATAGTCTGAAACACAATTACAAACATTGAATGCTCAGGATCAACAGTCCAACCAAACAAGTGAAAACTACTCTGTACACTGGTGTACAAAAGCTTAATGTTGTACTATAAATTCCTGGAACATAATCTGAAAGGACTGCATGTGCTTACATAATAATACAATTATACAAGAGTGACACAAGGTAACATACTTCACATTTTGGCACTGAGGGATCAACTCTGATCCATTAGACTCATGAAACACTAAGCTCACTCATGTTAAAGCTCATGTTATGTCACCAAATCTGATTTGGGCTGCACTTCAAAATCTTATTATATGGATTGAAGAGGCAAGACAAAAATTCCAAAGTATTTTTGTTTTTCTGGACACTAGAGGGCAGCATGAGGCCTATAATGAGACATCACAGGCTGATCAAAAGTCTACAACCATGGAGTAAAGCTTGACTTTGACATACAGATCATGCGTCAGGAAATTAAACTGAATATGAATGTGATGATTGGTGGATGCAATGCTGTGAAAATGACTGTTTTGCAGATGTACCTGTGAGCAACAGCTGATACTGAGGAATCCTCTGAACAGGCTTCAAGAGGTAATGCTTCAGAGCCAAGTTGGCACAGCGTGGACCGGCCTTGGTCAAAAACAAATGACACAGATTACAAATGACACAATTTTCAGGAACAAACTCACATCCTGTTCACATGAATAAACAATGAAAGCTCATTTACCCAATAGACACACCCCCTCATACAGACAAAACAGGTCAACCAAGCCTCTTTACCTCAAATTCCCGTACCACTGCGCCAAATGCTGGGTTCTTCTTACTCTGCTCTTCCAGTAGAGCCACATTCTTGTCAAACTCGCGGATGTATGTGGAGTACATCTTCAGGTAGGGCCCTTTCTTCAGGAAAATGTCTGCTAGCTGGGCATTATCGTGCCTGTACACAGAATAAAGCCCAATGAGCACATTTGTGACACCTCTTTGAGAATGCATGTGTAACTAAGCTATACAATACACTATGGTAAATTACATATTTCAGCTGGAATTATTCCACAATATTATTCTGGACTGTTCATGAATGAAGGTTTTTTATTATTATTACAGTATCTTTTACAGCACCTTAAAAGGTCCAGTGTGTAACAGGTAGGAGGATATATTGGGAGACATGTAATATAATATATAATAGTGTATAATCACCTAAAAATAAGAAACGCTGTGTTTTTATTACCTTAGAATGAGACATTTTTATCTACCTTTTTATCTCCTTCTGTGGAGTCCACCATGTTGAACTGCCATTTTCCTACAGTAGCCCAGAACAGACAAACCAAACACTAGCTCTAGATAGGGCCCTTCACGTTTTTCGCAACCAAAGTAGTTTCTCCTACAAACTTGGAAGGGGAGGGGGTGAGGTAAGTTGGTTGTATTCTGCAACTACACTGCTAGATGCCACTACTACAAACTGGCCCTTCAACTAATATTTTTATTTGTGTATTATTTGTGTATTTGTTATTCATGTCCCTTAGCCTCAGAGTCCCTACCTGCCTATTCTTTTACAGGAAATGTTAATGAGTCTCAATGTGACAAGTGTAACAGAGTCAGAGTGACTGGACTGCTTGCAACGGAGTGATTGGTTAGCTTTTTCAATTGGGGTACAGTTTCTCCTTGAATAAAACTTCCTTAATCAATACTAACGCAGCAAAACAATAACACACCCAACTTCCGCGTCTCTCCCGGGTTCACAACACACTCAAACTATAGTGTGTCATACAGCTTAGTTACTCAACATACATGAATAAGGTGAACTTGTAATTAAAGTAAATAAAAAGGCTAAGTATGTAACTATTACTTCTAAGAAGACTAAGATTCCTCCCGGTTAACCTCAAGATTGAAGTTGGCCGCTAATGTTGGGAGACACAACCTGGCTTTACAGCTTTTGGTCCAGTTCGTCACAGAAATGGATGTTATTGGGGGGGAGTAAGACCATCCAGGTTCCTCATTTTTTTTCTTGTTTTTTTTTCTTGTTTAAACAGGGAAGCACCTTCCCCAAACAGTTGCCACAGGAAGCACTCTACTGTCTGAAATATCAGTGTATGCTGTGAGATTTCTCTTACATAGAACTATCAGGCCAAAACCATGGACAAAAAGTATGTAAAATACTGTGACGGAGGTACATACATAGAGGTCAATAACTGCTCTCTGAGTCAGCAACAGTGACCAACACACACAAATCTAAAAACACTTTTTAATGATTTTGCTGTACCATTTGGCGACTCTTTCCTTCAGCTCTCTGAGCAGGTCTTGGTTGAGTTCGTAGAGCTGCGGGAGGTAGTACAGGATCTGATTGAGGTGCCGCTCCTCAATCACAGGCTTCCCACTCTGACCAGGCGCTTTGGACACCGCATCGCGGAAGTCCTGTAGGTCAGATAAACAGTCAGGTCAAATACAGGAACTCAGGCATACAGGGGAAAACCAAGAGTGCGTTAAATGTGATATTTACTAAACTGTTTATGTGGTCCTCTTGAAAATGCAGTGCAGTCACAATAGTAATCCAGTATTAAATCTATCTCAGTGAATGAAATCATGTAACATGGTCCCAAAAACAACACTACAAATTAGTATAAAAGAAAGAGAAATACTGCTGAGCCATGAACTTAAATTTTCAGGACCTAGTGAATCAGGGGGAAAAAAGCAGAGCAAAGAGCCCGAGGGTGCTGTTTCGGCCTCTCTTTCTGATGATGTGGAGGTTTTTTTCTGGTGGTTTATGGGGACACATGCCAAATAAAACTGCCTATAGCAGAGCGCCCAGTAGAGAGCTCCTGTGGTTAGCATGTGTGATCTCTTCCTACTACAACAGCTGACGGAGAAAAATGTGTGTCATGCAGAAAGAGCTTTGGAAGGGTAATTTTTTATTTTTTTAAAATACGAATGTTTCATTAGATAAGAAAAACTGAAACATTGAAGGCATCAGCCCTAAGTGGACATTTGTTAGTAATGTCGTGTGCACCCAGAATGAACCGGGCACAATTAGTAACAAGAAGGTATAAACTATGATTGATTTTCATGTTAAGTTCATTCTCTCTGAACATGGTTTATGATCAAATAGACAAGACAGTGCATTTCCATCAAGCTAAATATCAAAGCCGTTTTATCTTCCTGTCGCTGACGAGTTTGGAGACGGAAAGTTTTCACCTGACAGAAACACTAAACAGAGCATAACACAAACATTGCTAAAAAATATGGCTGAACTGATAACTCAGATAAAAAACACACAACAAATGGCGTGTTATGTTATCATCCATCACTTCGCTGAAGGCTGGCTCAGTGCCTGGTAGAGATGGAGAAAGAATAAATACTAAGTCACCTCAACATTCCTTTGAACTTAGACTGTTTCTCATTACAGGACTCCCATTCCTTTACAGTCTACAGAGACCCAACCACTTCCTGTGTGTGCTCTGCAGTGAGGAGTCATTGTTGTTGACTCAGCCTTACTACAATCTCATTTTGAGACCCTTATCTCACATAACATCTGCTATTATGACCATACCACTTATTTTTTTGTGATAATAAAGAAACAGAAAAATAACAGTTAATAACAGGACAGTTAAGTGTGCTCCGACCATAGTGTTTGTTGATTGGTCAAACTTTTCTGACTCCAAAATTGTGAGGAGGCTGCATCTGCAAATGTATGAGAGCTTGAGAGAAGTCTAATTCCTGCTTTATCAGCTATGCACACATGGCTAATTGCTGCATGAAGTGGGCGCGAGTGCTTGATTGCCTGTTTTGGAAAGTTACAGAAATTGGTGAGAAAGCAGGAATTAAGACTTCTATTTCTGACACTTTTCGTGTGAACAACTGAGTGCAACTCGGTGAATGCCTTTTTCTGCCTTCGAGTTTGGCTGTTCAGACCAACTGTCAACATTTTCGCCTTTAGAGGTTCTCATGACAACACTAGTTCTTTCTGAGCACACTCCACCTCTAACAGTTATCTTTATCAGCTTCCTTTGTATTATTTATGTCAAGTAATATCACCGTTGACAACTTTCAGCTTGTGGCTCCTGTCCTTCTTACAGATGTCCTGTTTGATACTCGGTATATTGTCATATGTCCTATTTTTAAACTCTCCTTTCGAGCAAACATGACCCACCACTGAGGCTGTGTTTGTACTTGTGAACTGGAAGATGTTCATAACTTTTACATGGGATTGTGCTCCTTTATTTTATATGTTCATTTACTGTATATTCTATATGATATGCAGTGAATCCAAAAGTAGATCGTTTCACTTTTAAGATTATAAGAAAGGATTATTAAAGGTCATTTAGACTTTCACTGTTCTGACAATAGATACAAATACCTGAGTTACCCTAGGGTGTTTCTTTCTGACATTGTTTCTCAAACATATTTTGAGGGAAGTACAGCAAAGAAACCAGATCATCATATCATTTTGGCAGCTTCGATCCATTGCAGATTACATTTCTCAAAACACCACAAGGAGACAACACGACTCCATTTAAGTCTGGACCAGTGTAGTGTTACCGTCAGATCACACTACTAATAAAAGTTTGGGGAAACCGTGAGGAATGTGAGCCGTGCGGGCGAGACTGACGGGAGTCTGGTCTACACACAGTCTTATCCTGCATGGGGTGTGCCCCAGTGGTTAGCATAATCTAACACATATGGAGAATGTGGGCTCAGACAGTAGACCAGCACTAGATACAACACACACAGAATAACACAAGCTTCTGCTCTTATAACAGCAAACATGGAGCTTGTTTTTCTGTGCAAGGGTGAGGTGTGGGAGTACTCACAACATGAAGCAACTTCAGGACGTCAACAAATCTAGAAAAAAAGAAAATTAGAAACATTAAAGAGGTTATCATGGATGAGTAGCAAAGCATGTTTTCTCACTTACCTGTAATCACCTACCGGTTTAATGATCATTTTGGCTTCATTTACCAAGGTTTTGAGATATATAATGGGATTTGAATGGAATGTGTTTATGGTGTTTAAAGCATAACAGACACATGTCTACCAAAATACTCTGGATTCAAACCAAAGGGAGATGAGGTTCCTATCTGTGCTGCAAATTGTTTCTTAGAAGATGATGTGACTCTGGTATATTTTCATGGAATTTTAAGAATTTGAACCATATTTCATAAATTCCAATTATTTTGCACAGATTTCTCAAAACCTGGACAAATAAAACCAAAATGGCTAAACAACCCCTAGATGGAAGCATTAATACATTTCTTTATCAGACTGAAAAACAAATAAAGACTCTTACACACTCTCAGAGCTCATAATTTCTGTGGCGATGTGATGAATCTTGCTCTTCTTCTGTCCACTCTGTGTCTAACAAAAGGTGTAAAAACAAAGACTTAGAACCACAATACACAACAGTAAATCACTGTGTAGTTCATGAGATAGCTACTCACAGCAGATACATGCTGTTAATCATAATGTATTCATTGGCTACAGCATGTAGCTGATTTACATGAGGTCAATAAACAAATTGTTAAAGCATCAAAAGGAAGAAAAGCTCCTCCCCATGTGATCAAGGAAAAACATTATGTCTGAAACCTTGCAAAGAACAAACCCTGTGAGATCATTCCAGGAAGTGTTTCTAAGCACTACAGTCATAAATCAAACAGTGTCTGCTTCTCACCGGACTCTCCTCTGGCTGCTCAGGGTCTCCTTTACTTGAGATGGAGCTGCTATAGTCCTCCTCATCTGACATGTTGGCCACAATATCATCATCCGAGGGGCCATCATCCAGGGGGGGCACCTCCTCATCGACAGAGCTTCTGTCAACAGGGCAGGACGTTAACGTTAGAGGAGAACAGAGGCAGATGCCAGAGCATGAACACACCGTACAGGTGTTTTGAACAAACATTTATCAAAAACTCTGTAAATGCATCACACAATGACCTTAAGCCAGTCACATCCCACATGATTTGTATAAAAAAGTACAAGAAAGTGAGGATTTTATTTATAGAAAAGGGGAAAGGAGATACAGTTTAAAATAAAAACACCTGTGTCAGCATCTAATCTGGGGGAGTGTGCCTTTTTGAAAGAAAAATTGTCACTCCAGCAGTATGTGCCACATTCTTTCCTACTGATCAAGTGGGAGTCATAAAAAAAAAAAAAAAAAGGAACACACAGGAAAGGGAGCACTTTGACACAGCCGGAAAAAACATTTGGTGATAATGATCAACACTGTCACATATCACTAGCTTTGGGTCCAACTGCCTGCTTCGGGTGACAGAGCAGCAGTTTAGCTAAATGCTGCCATGTCCAACAGAAACAGAAGAACAGCCAAACCAGACACAACCCACTAATCATCACACACGCTACACTAATCTAACCCTGCAGCTCTACAATGGCTATCCTGTAGCTAAAAGAAGACTGCACCAAAAAGAAACTACATAACTAAAATGCCACAATTCCCAGAGGGGGCAGTACATGCGAAACATGTGTGAAACAGCACCTCCCTAAACAAAAATGTACAAAAAGAAACAGGCCAAGGCTGAGGAGCAAAAAGGTTTACAATAGCTGTTGCATTTAACTGTGGCTGGTCTCTGTTTGTGAGCTGCTCACCGTGTTTTTAAACATGTGACTGTTGCAGTTTGATCTAAAGAGGGGCGACACACTAAGCTGTACAAGCGTACATTACACAAACTGTAATCCTATGTTTCCAACTGACTTCTGCACACTGGGAATTCATAACACAACATACACGTTATATAAATACAAACGATATGCTAAGGACCAAATTGGCTGTTCTAGACACTTTTTCTCCCCCTCTCGAGAGCTGCCGTATACCTGCACACATTCAGATGTTTTTTTTTATCCCCGGTGAGCAATTAAAAATGTAATTATAAAAGGAAATCTCACCCTCTTAGAGACACTGTCTTTCTTTGATTAAAAAAAGACGGTGGGAACATGGTTTCTGGACAGAAAGCTTTGAGCAGCACTATTTAAATTCTCTCATCATCACATCTGAGCCAAAATCTCAGCGACAGATATCTCAAAACCTCTCAAATACAACAAAAACTATCTGCATACCAAGATAACAGGTGAAATAATTGTGAAAATGTGTCTTTAAGAATTGTTTAAGTTGTTAAGTTAAGCTGCAGTGCACTGGTGACACAAAGCATGACACACATAAGGCTCTACATTTCTTGGCAAAGACGTTTCGATGTAAATACACACACACGCACACACATACACACACATACTTGCCTTCTAGGCCAAAGGTTGTCTACTGTTAGTGTCGCCTCTGACAATAGCTAACAGAATGAAGAAAATATTTGAAAAATGTTATGTGTAATCTTAATTAACTCTACCCACAATTCACCAACACCTGAAAGGCAGTACAAACGTACCACCATACTTGTCAAACTCCCCTGACAGGAATCGGCAACAAAAGACACAATGGGACGTCCTTCTCTATAATCTTCCTCCTCGTTAACATATTATATGAGTCATACTCTGTAATTAACCAGATCTTTTACAGATACACGGTTCAAATGGAGCCTCAGGTGGTTTCCACCTCTCCTTTCCGAAAACAAGGGCAATTACCTAATGGGCAATATATTCATAGTCAAGAGCAGGATGTGAGGAGAAACAAGAGACAGAAATGAAAGGCATCATAATGTACCTCTCACAGTCTGTCGGTGACTGACTCTGTTGGTGTTCAGTGTTTTTCTCAAAGGACAAATATGGCTCCTGCTCCTCATAAATGCCCTCATCGTTATACATTGGGCTCTGCCAGACGTCAGGCTGCGAGAAGGAGGCCCGAAGGGATGACGCTGCCCTTCCCACTTGCACATTCATGTAGTCTGGTATCTCCTCATAGTGAGCGATGTTCTCATAGTAAACATCCTGCTGTCCTCCAGGAGAAACCTCATCTCCATCCACGCTTTGCTCTACTCCAATCAGCGGACAGGAGAATTTACGACTAGACCTGAGATGCTCGCGGAAGTTCTGACACGCGTCCTCGTCCACGCTTTGTTCATTGTCATTTGCAACGCAGTCTAAGTTCTGGCCTCCTTTTACTATCAGCTTAGGAAAAATCTTCACCGAGAGCTTCAAGTCCAGCAGTTTCCGGAAAGAGTTCCTCTTCTGACCGTCAGAACGATGGAGGTCAGCAGCAGAGAACGACTTGGCTCGCTGTTTGCCCAGGCTCGACCGAGAAGGCTTGATGGCTCCAGCCGAAAAGAGGTTTCTGCTTGTCTTCCCAGCTGGAGGCGAAGGCAGGTCCCTCATTACTCGCTCCTTCAAAACACAATCTTGCATAGGAAGGGCCTGCCTCTTCTCATTATCTCCTAATTTCCCCTCTTCTTTCTCCTCAGAATATTCCTGCTTCTGCATCCATGCCATCGGGCTGCTGTGTCTCTGGGGTTTCTTTGGAGTCACCTTGACCGGCACATCCTCTACTGCCACAGTGATGGCAGGCGGCTCTAGGCTGAGCTCTGGTTGATTGAGAGAACCGCTAGCAGGAGGACTATGTGTGAAGTCAGTGTAGACTGCCTCCTGATCGTGCGATCCGTCCTTCTCCTTCTCCACCTCATCATCTTCCTTGTCAACCCATACCTCCATCTCGTGGCTGCTGCTGTCCCAACCCAGGTCTTCCTCCTCCACATCCTTTGGGAGTGGCTGAGGAGCAGAGGTCGGTGCTTTCTCAGGTGCAGACAGAAAAGGCTTTTTCCTGGGCGGAGGGGCAGGCATAGTGCAGGTGTTTCTCGCAGATGGACAAAATGTCTGCTTTTTAACAGGTACGCTGATAGACAGTGATGAGTTGCCCTTCCCCTCTGATGACACTTTCACCTCTCTGACGTTCATATTTCTCCCTTCCTGGCTTACAATCTCTTCCCTCTCCTCCTCCACCTTTTCCTGGCGGACCAGCATAGCCATTCTGGGTTTCCGTGGTACAGGGACAGGGATGGGCTTCCTAGGCGTTGCAGGGACTGGTTTGGGTTGTGGCACGCAAGACATTTGCTCTGAGCCAAAAGCATCTTCCTCTGGTTCTCGCCCAGGTGCACTCTGAGGTATTACGTTACAATTTGCCTCATCGCTCCACGTTCTATGAGGAAGGGACGGCCTAACACTCACAGTACTGATGTTTGTGTTGAGATTTTTGTCCAAAGTAAAGGTTTCTTGAAGAGGTTTATGGTTTGTGAGCTGGGTGTTGGAGGAGGCAGTGCTCATTTTCTCTTCACCATTATCCACAGTACCTCGAGATGAAGGAAGCTTTATGTTTTCTTGATGTTTGTGCAACGTTTTCTCCATTTTGTTTACTGATGTCTTCCTGATGCACATGCAGTTTTCATTGCTACACAGACAAATAGGAATAATATAATCCCAATCTGGCTTTTTGTTCTCTTGCTGTATTCCATTTTGGGAGTTAAGAAGACCTTCAGTCCACAGGGTTTCTGTCACAGATGTTTGGTGCGGGCTCTTTGAAGCCAGTGGTTTGGATTCCACAGCAGTGGTGAGTTTGGAGAGGCAAGGTTTGGGGGCCAACGCGGGTTTAACACTTCTCGGTGTGCCAGGAGATGGAAGTGAGAGGCCGTCTCTCTTAGGGGTTGCGGGAGACATCCCTGGCCTCTGGGGCTGGACAAGCTTTGGTTTTGGGGCCACAGGTGGCTTGTGCATGCCTGAGGAGAGAAAAACAAAAGATATGGACTTGAAATTTTGTGTAAAGTTGTCTCCTCTGAATCGGAGCCTCTTACTCGGGCCAGACAACAACATCAAAATAAAAACATAGCAAAAGGATTATGGATCTAATCTGACACAGTGGAAAAAAGCACAGTCTGAATACCCAGATGGTATATTTGATGCATTATCAGTGGTCAGACAGACGCTCCAATGAGAGGTCGCTCTTTAGCTCTCGGTAGCACTGATCCAAACCTAGTGACAGCTTAGTGTAAAACTGCTGTGAAGTGCTAAACCTCTCTGGGGGGGTTCAAATATCACATGGTGTTTGTTTGCCACTCCACACAACAGCGCAGTAATCTAGCTAATGGTCCATGTCAACAGGCAGAGGATGAGGAGGAGGGGGAGCAGATGGGAGATGAAGAGGGGGAGAGAAAAATGAAGGAGGAGGGGGGTGCAGGCTTTGAAGGAGTCACGCAAACTGGTACAGCTGGCTGGACTAGTGTCATAAAATCTTTTGCGGTGGAGAAAACAGTGACATGCTGACAGGATGGGATGTTGGTGTTTTTCCCCTCAGCAAACCAAACATTTATTAATTCAGAAAGACACAGTTTGACAACAAATCTATAAAAACACTCTACTGAATTTTGATTTGAAGATTCTGGGCACAATCTGCCTCAGACTGAGATATATTGTCCATATGAGTGACAGGAGATATTCCAGCTGGATGTCCCCAAATAGAAGATTATACAGTTCTAGTTTCTTTGCATATCCTATGATTGCCAGTTCAATACACACAGACACATATATAAACATCCAGGCACGTCTGTTTTATCTTTTCTGTTGTTTTTATCTTGAATCTGTTAATAAATATGATGTTAAAATCTGTTTCAAACAATACATTTAAAAGCATAAACAGAGACTGGAAGTTGCAAATTAGCTTCAGCCAGACGCCCTATAGAGCACACACAACATTTATTGCTTTGTTTCTCCCTGTGTAACAATGTTTTTCTGCATTATCCTAAGAAACAAATAAAAACATGCTTCCATCGTAATTAAATATTCCGATTTGTAACTTATTCGCTCGGTGACAAATCTTTAGCCAGAGAAAAATCAACGAGCTTCCAGTCACTTACCTGAGTTCATCATCGCTTCACTGACTCTTCTTCTTTTTTTGTGTCAGTTTTTAAAGGTCACTGCCATACTTTGTGTCCGGATACATCACAAGAAGTCGATTCAGAATAAGTTATCTGCCAAAGATTGACATTTTCTCCGCTTTAGTCCGAGTAAGGAATATGATCCTGCGGCTCACAGTTGAACCGAGCTGCACTGGCTGCCTGCCAGCGATATGTGGCCTGCCAATGAGCTTCCTTTTTGTTTCTATAAACAATCCACTAGGGGTCCTCAGGAGCCACAAACTAGAATCCAGCCAGAATCTATCAAAACAAAAAGGCTGATCTGTAAAGTATAATTAAGTGAGCAGTAACTTAAATCTGAAGTGTGTGAGAGAACCTCCTGAGTACTTTGATGGCAGGTTGTCACTGTGTAAACTGCAATCTGCTCCCCTTTAGATCTGCATTCATTTGCATTAAGACTCTATGATTGCTCATCCTCACACAGAAACTTTTCAGTGCCACACGCACATATCTTTCCACATACATCATCATCATTTCTGGTATGACTAAGACGCTAGAAACATGAGTTTGAGCCAGCTGATACTTTGTAAGCTATATCTGAAATATAGCTGAGGAAGTAAAACTAAAAAAAATGTTTATCATACTGGAACTTTGTCACTAGGTTGATTGAGCAATCAATCTTACAGTAATCAGACCTGGGTGACAAGAAGGAAAGGGAGATGAAGAGAAAGCAGTACTGGATAGTTGGTGTTTTTATTAAATCTGCTCATACTGAAAAAAAAACCATTACAGTAATGAATGTTTATATAAAAGATGAAAAGCCAATCATTCAGAGTAAAACATCAGATTATCTTTGATGATAGATTTTTAGCCCTGATGCCTCTAAAGGTCGTCAGTGTACTCCTTAAGACATTTTGCAAGGTAACAGATTACACTTATCAGTGGTGTAATAGTGAGCAGCAGAGAGGCGTTTGCAGTTTATTTGCACATTAACCAAAAGCCGATGGAGATATGATCCTGTCTCTGGAGCATATTCAGTGTGTGATAACAGGGACATGAGGAAGTGCTGGAGTCTTTTTTGGGTTGATACAAAGGTCTCTCTGACGTAGGTGTGATACCTCAGGAACTCGGTTGTTTTTGCTGTTCAGGAGGAAGACATTCGTATTATAGGTATTTCAGTCACGTCTTTACAGTAACAGGATAACACAAAAGTTAGATTTCAGGAAACGATAAATAGAGTAAAATAAAATACCTCTCATCTGCCTTTTTCTTTCCTGTTGAAGCAGTCAGTGTTAAGTCATCTCCTCCTTTTAGTGTTGCTTCTTGAGAGTTGTGTGCATCTGTGGCTGCAGGTGTGTTCACCGTATCACTGCAAGGAAGAAAACTATGAATAGAATCAAAATGGTAAACTTAATTTCTTTATGTCTAAAATGTATGTTAGTAGAGCACAATTAACCTGTGCTTTAAAAAGATTATTCCTATTTAATTTATTTGTGGTTACAAATCATCATCATCAGTGAAAAAAGTCTATTCCCTTAACATCCATATAATATCACTGGTTTGTAATGAGACTGATGGTTCAGCTTCTTACAGTAAATCCCATTCACACAGGGTGTGATGCAGTAGTACCTGAACTTGTAGTCTGAAGGGAGGCTCAGACCTAATCTGTAGTCTCCCCTGGTTCTGGAGATTTGCTTGTGAAGGTCCCTGACTGAGCAGCTGTGACCACTGAATATGTATCCCACAAACAGCAGCTTCCCTCTGATGTACATCTACCACATTAACACAGAGAATTCATTACATGTGCGAAGGTGGGTGGTAAAAAAGTCACACTCACTGCAGTTTTCATTGTGATCTTTAAAAGTCATCAGTCTATTGTATTTTTATTTAGATTACAGAGAAGTGGTTTGCACCACCAAGTTGATCCTATAATTTCACAACATAAACCAGATTATTCATGCGGTTATTTTTAGATTTCACAATAGAGGAACCTGGTGTGTGTTTTTTGCAGTATCTTGTTAATCATAAGAACTGCCTTTCTGAGTAAGACCTCTTGGCCTGAAGTATTCAAGTGCAAATTATGTTTCATGTCACTATGATTCAAGTAATTTCTGTTTGATTTATGGGCTGACAGAGGGATATTTCATTTTACAGCAAAAAGTCAGTGACTTTGGGCTAAAAATTAGTGCTCTCTTTTGTAATTAAGAAGCGTCATCCCTCATTGCTTGTCAGCCAACAGTACTTTCATTATAAATGTCTTGAAAAGGACACCTTCCTCACCCCGTCCACCCCCATGCTATCACCCCTTCTGCTTCAGGCAAGCATTGCTGCTGCCACCAAGTGGGAGTCATGAAAACATGCACTGAGCAGCAGCCTGCAGCCTCTGGCCCATCCTGCAGTGGGTTTACTAACCAGGACCATCCCAGGAGCAGTGTTATGTCGCTGCTGCAGCAGGATGTTCTCCACTCCACAGCTGGGCTTCCCTGTAGACATCTCGTACCTCACCAGGCGAAATGAATCCATCTGGCACTAGATTAAAAAAAAAAAACTGTTAGTGAGTTTACAGAAATACATACTGTACAATAACCTGCTGACTTTTGCTGCCCCTTTATTTTGAAAAGCTCTGTTATCCTACTGGGTGTTATTTCAACTACAGTGAAAACAAGTGATGCACATTAAACTTGGCTGGGTATATAACAGATGAGCAAAGTAAGAGAAAATAGTTGTGTTTTATTATTGTGTTTATGTATGTAAGACAGCATTCACACCTGAGTACACGGCGTGGTTCGGTGCTTGTTCCTCCTCCTGTAAAGCCGCTCCAGTGCGCCCTGGTCCGGCGCTGCGTGTTTGCTGGCAGGTTGGTGCAGTGGAGTCACACACACCACCAGGATCTGTTGACTGTGTGGAGGCTGGCCCATAACGAAGGCATCATACTCCAAGTCCGTCACCACTGGCATCTGTGTGGTGCTGCAGCAGCACCGCCTACGTCCCCCCTCCCCCAGCAGGGCAGCTCTAAGTAGAGCCGGGCACGCTGTGAGGGGGGTGGAAGGGGTGAATGACGGTGGGGCTGGACAGCGGTTGACAGCTGAGGGCTGCAAATCTGGACTGTTTGGAATAATCACTGACCTGGCAGGGTGAGGAGATAGTGAAGCTGTCATTGTAAATACTCTCCTGCTCTTATAAACTGCAGTAAATTGTCATTTTCTACACAAAAAAACATCTGAATGAGTTCCCAGTGTCTGTCAGTGATACAAGAGGGTCGTACTCAAGTTTGATGTTGCCATGAATCTGAAGGGGTCCTATCTGTGTGACTCGGGGCTCTTCTTTCTTACTTCTTCTTTTTGGTGTCCTGGCAACATCCAGGTAGAAACAGTGGAAATTGCCTTTATTAGAGCTTACATAATGCAGCATACATCTGTGCAACGTCTATAAACAGTGTGTTTCTACCACTAGTTTTATGGCATGCTTGAAAGGCCACTAAATCCAACACACTGGTCATAACCCTGATGACATCGCATGGGTAATTCTCTTGCCAAAGGTCCTCCAGAAGTGTAATACTTGTCATTATTAGTAAATTTACTTATATATCTTATATTGTGTAAAGTGTGCACCTTGGCAGCTTGACGTAGGATTCTGTAGGAGGTCTTTCTGCTGGTGCTGACGGATGTCTGTGTCTGTCCTCCTGTAACTCATTCCTGCTCTTCTCAGGCTGGACCGGTTTAGCAGCAGCCTGCTCAGGTGGGTTCAGAGAGGGCAGAGCGGCTGACTGTACCTCTCTCCTCAGCCTGGTCCTCAGTGGGGCATCTGGCATCCGCTCCATGTCAGGACACTTGATCCCTGAAGGAGAGGAAGAGGTCACTCGGAAATGCACAGAGACAACGAGTGACACAAGTGACCGTGAACAAGATCCTGATGGAACTATTCAATAATGTTGAGTTTGCAAGATGAGGTGATACTGTAACTTTTTGCTTCATTGAATCACTCTAAACAACCTTACTGGGTCAGATTGGTTCAATGTTACTTTTATATGCACACATTAATGCCTCATAACGTACAGTGCGTCACATCCACTGGTTGCAGTCTGAGGACACATTACGTGTTTCAGAAAAGCTAGAAAGGGCCGTGTTTACAGGTACATACCAATGGCCGCACAATAATAATCCAACCAGTCATCCAGGGTGTTTCGTACTCTCTGCTGAAGCTTCTTCAGCTCCCTGCCAACATGCCCTCCTCTTCTCCACAGTGCTGACAGCTCCTCCAGCCCCTCCACCTCTGTGACCATCTGGAGGACCTCCCGGGAGCACAGAGACACCTGCCATACATCATTACCCGCATGGTAGATTGTATGATATAGAACAACATAATGCATTTAACAAGCTGTTTTATGCAAAGTGACACACAGAAAGCAACTTAGGGACTTCTGGAGGCTAAAAAATGTATTAAATATATTGTGGTAACCTAATTTTTTCATATTGTTTAAACCAATTTATGCCATGCCTTCCCTGGGGCATTATCAGAGGCATTATCATTGTGAAAAAAAAGTCTCACAGGTGTCCCCTTGCTCTCCAGGACCACAGCAGGGGGTTTTGTCTTCCCCGCCAGCAGGAGGTCTGGAGCAGTGGGAGAGATAATCTTCCCTTCATGCTGTCAATGCAGAGTAAACATTATAGATTCGAACCGTTTCTCATGAATCTAATACTTCCATCTGTGTGTTAATCTCAATCTCACCGTTTTCTTTGATCGGGTAACGTTAGACACGGCAGAAAGAGGAAGTTGGACGCTTTCGCTGTTACACCTGAAGCTGAGCACGGCAGACGTGCCACTGAGCAGCCTCACAGAGATTAGATCGGACAACTGCAAGAGACAAAATAACACATTTACAAATATCTATAGAATGGAAATAATGCTATCTATTGTGAGTGCTCATAAATTGTGGTGAATTCATCCACGGCCATTTAATCTGCTATATAGAGACCTGTTATAAAACCTCTCTCGGCCCCGTCAGAGGCGGTTAGTGCTCACCAGTAGGTCATGCGTCATTGCCTCACATGCCTTGCTTTGTTTACCCTAAATGTGACATTTCCCATATGTACATTTCACAATTATCTCATGTGACTGATTCCTAGTCACTCTGACTGGCTCTGTCATTGAATATATTTCTAGTCTGGAGATTACATCATGCTGCCGAGCTGACGCATAATAGTTACTGACACACTGGGAGAAAGATTTGCTTCCCCAGAGAAACTTTCATAATAAAGCAGTTGTCAGGTCACTGTTTACTGCACAAAGAAAGTTTTTCTAGGTATATTTAAATGTAGTAGTTCCTGGAAAACAAAATGCGTGAGACGCGTGCTTACATAAGCATGAACCATCTGATTTTAGCCAGTAATATTGAGCCATTCACCTAGAAATCAATCTTCAACTTTTAGCGACACAGAGCAAAGATTGAGTGTTTCTCGCGGCTGGACCACACTGATTATTGTACAAAAACACAGCGTTATCACTTGTACAACTTTATCAGTGAAGCTGGATCATATTTAATGGAGGAAATATTGTCTGGTTTTCCCGTCTTCCAACTGCTCGGCCTTTAACTCCGCTGACTGTTAGATGCCGTTAACTTGTGCAGCTAACGTTTGGTGGCAGGAGCCAACTACAAAGCTAACGCTAACAGCTAGCCTTGACTAATGCTAAACTTACTTACTTAGCTGTTTCCTGTTATTAAAATAAATACATTTTGCTGAGCTAACATCTTGGTTAAATTTTACTTTAAAAAATAAGGTGAAAGCTAAATCCAGTCATGGAGAAAAAAACAGCGAAGCTAAACTATTTGTGACAAAAAGGTAACGTTAACTAGCCTAACGTTAGCAGTAACTGCTGATTCATACGTTTGTGTGGTTTAGTTATAATTATTAAATTGTAAAAACACGTCTTTAAAATGTCTTATTTGTGTGAGTTAAGTTTAAAAAAATGTACTTAGATAAAAAGGTGCTGTCGGTAGTTTGTTTAATAATTTATGTTAATTTAGATAAATAAGTGATTTCATTGAATAAGTTAATAAGTTAATAAAAAAAGGCCAGCTTATAATCATTTGATTTAATTAATGTTGATTTGAGCAAGATATTCTGTAAAAGTCAACACTGTGAAACCATATTACAGTCTCTTTAAGAGAAATAGGTATTTTGTGCTTGTTAAGACAGAGCAATCGTTGAGCTTCAACGCCCCTACATGATTCCTATATTCATCTTTTTAACCCTTTTTTTTGAGAAAGTAGTTACTGCCTTCATGCCTTTGTAGGGCAGCGTGGATGATACCTGTATAACAATCTTCTCCCTCAGTGAGCGTCCTGCCTGCCAGCTCCACTCCTTGGTTGTGTTCCCATCATTGTCACACATGAATCCACCGTCCTGGTCCCACGCTGCTGTAATGGCAGAGCTGGAGGAACACATGAATATCAATTACACATTCATGATTATCCACAGATCGTTTAAAGCGGGGGTCTCAAACTCAAAATGCCTTGGGGGACACTGCTGGTATTATCATCTTATAGGAGAGCCAATTCAACATTATAGTTCTACAATAAAATATATATATATATATATATATATATATATGCTCTGCTTGTTTCTTATAAACCCCTTGTACACATTTGTTGACACCATTGACCTTTACAATTATTTTGCAACAATTTATTTTATTCTAATTGTATATCAGTGGGTAGTTTAAATTGATATTGAACAACTAGAAAAACATTTAAATAATAATACTCTTGCAGGCTGGATTATATAATATTTTTGACATCATGTCAGGAGTCGGAGGGAGGTGGGCTGGACACCCCCCTTTTTTGCTCTCTTTAAGTGGGTGAGATGAGCACATTGAAATCAATCTCATGTACTCCAGTTATTTGATACTGCACTTCCATCAATACATCATACCATTCCATCATACACCTGTTTCCACTAGTACTAAACTAGATGTCAAGTGTGAAGTCAGTGCATCGATCTGCTCATATTTAGACCTACTCACACATCAGCTCTGGACTCACCTCAGATTGTGTGTAACAGCCCCGTGCCCGAACGCCGTGATACTCGCCAGGATAACAGGACACTCGCTGTCACTGAACACGTTGGTGTAGAAGCCTCCACAGGGCAGACCTGAGTGGCTCTGGCATACAGCCATACAACCAGACGGGTAGCTGAGAGGGCAGGGTCAAAGGTCAAAAGCTCAGCTGCAGAGACATATTCGCCATATGGCGTACGCTGCATTTGCTTCTTGGAGAACCACTAGAATTAAAATATAATATGAATAAACATAAGAGAGGATACTATATGAAGGAGGAGCCGTCGTTGATCCTGTAGTGTAGTTTCTGCTGCGCTGGCTCCGGCTGCTTCACTTCTGGTACCTGGGGTATCCCGTTGACCAGAGTGACGGGTTGGGCCTTTCTCCTCGCTCTCCAGTCCTTCAGTTTTGAGTCACCATAGTGACGGAGAATGAGGGGCTTGTTCCGGCCCGGTTGTTGTTTTCTATGTGAAGATGAAGTATTTCTTTATGCTTTAATAACTGATCTCTCAAGCTACCTTATGAAACGTACACAAGTTTTAATAACTGATGACCAAATGTAAAATTGCTCCTGTACAGGCAACTTAAAACCACCATTCCCCAAGACAGAGAGATTAACTTAACGGGGACTTATTATAATTCACCCTGAGTGGGGACGTTTGTACCAAATGTCATGGCAAATCATCCAATTGTTGTCAAGACATTTAAATCAAAACCACAAATGGCAAGCTCATTGTGTGCCACAATAAGTTTGTTTGTTTCTTAGTTTAAATAACTAATATATTGATATATGTGATTGTGATTAAATCAGCATATATTTCTGCCACCCTTGTAAGTCTTCATGCCGCCTTCAGAGGAATATTTCTCAAAGTGCTGGACTGACTGATCAACCAACATTGCCATCCCTAGAAAAACATCCAGTTCAAGATAAGACATTTTGGAATATAACCCCGGATTTAACACACATTTGCTATAAGCTAAATATAACAGCAAAGGTTGAGAGAACGCACTCAGGATTTCTTGCGGCCTGGAGTCGCTCCACCACCCACTGACAAACACTGATCCACTGAGAATCATCACAGGAGGGCTGCGTTGGCTGGATGATCCAACCTGGACACAAACACACATCCAACTGAAGCAGCAGGGCCATCGTGGAGAGACAGACAGGAGCACTGATCGCCATCAACACGATGCTCCATGTTATCTTACCTGGATCTTTACTGTTGGATGAGATGGAGAAACTGATGGTTGCCGAGTTGTGAGCTGTTAAGGGAAAGAATATCAGTCAATAAGTCTGACATTCACCTTGGCATTTACTGTATTAACTGTATTGTATTAACAATACTGGCCATATGTAAGTCACTACCGGTGACACCAGGGAACTTAATAACTGATTAACAGACAGCAGTGCGTCTGTGCTCAGCAACCGGCTAACTTGTCCTATCTGGTAAACCGATCCTCCCACTTCCACAAGCTTGCAACCTAAGCTGCTCTCAAGTTCAGTCTTCAAAGGTCACAACAAAGAAGAAGTTACTTAATAGGTGTTCACTCTTATCACAGTAAATATGGAATATAGTTAAGATATTTTACACATTTATACCCAGACAACACTAGCATTTTCTACCAGTGCATATTTTCTAAAGGGTTTGTGATTTAAGCCTTAGTTAATGGTTTATACATCATTTATTAATACTTTATAAGACACATGTTGGTTGTAAAAAAAGCCCTTTGCCTGAATAGTTAGCAAACTATTTCTGAACATTTACCACTTGATGGGTTATTGTGGTGGAAGAACCTATTTATTAATTACTTATAATGTTTATACCTGCAGACCTGCGTCTTCTAAAGTGAGAGACACAGGACCTTAATTAATGACTACTCACTTTGTAATAGCTAATCATACAATTTTAGGTTTCTAATAAATCAATATATTTATCTTTGGTCCAGATGCTCTGTTGTCAAACCATCTATTAAAAGTATAACCGGTTAATTAAAAGCTGGCTTAAAGACAAAGCATGAGGAAGATAAACCTCAATCAACAATCAACAATCGAGCAATAGTTGTCATTATTATTCATAAATGATGTATTAACCATTAATAACCATTAGTTTACTTGAGAGCTGAGCCCCCTTTTCTGTCTAGAAAAAAACATAGATTAAAAGTTTGGCCTGATTTAAATGATCAAACTTATTTTTTATTTAGTGACAAAATAGACACTGAGTCAAATGTAAAATGTAGACTATTTTATATATTTATAGCCTATCTCATAGTGTTGGATTATGCTGTCATTCCTAACTTTAGATTGATGATTTGTTTGGGCGGGAATACACTGTATGATATATAAAATCTGACCCTGTTTACCTCTGTGGAAGTTTGGTTTGTGCTTTTTCACGCGTGGATTTGAGCTAACTTGTGGTTTTCTCACGGAGGGACCATCATTTCCCACAGCACACGAGTTCCTCTCTCCCGCCTCCCTCCTGTCCCCGGCGGAGGACACCTGCCGGGACCGGGCCTCATCCAACTTCAGGGAACCTTTGAACTTGCCTCGTTTGTCAGCCTGTTCCGGACCTTTCGAGCGCGCAGCCGCCCCTGCAGTCAGATCGTGCCAGGAGTAATTCAGAATATTTACAATCCCTTGAGGAATACAACCTTTCTCAGTCCACTTATGTTGTGAAAGCAGGTGAGCCAGTTCATTTAATAGCCGGGGGGCTGCTCGCTTGTACGCATCCATCGGATCCAGGCGCTTTTTGTTGAGTGCGGCACCGGCAGCGGATGAAGTATCAGGTTTACCATCCGCACATGTTTCACCTGGCAGCCTGTGAGTGAGCTCATCACTCTTACCTGCTCTGTGCTCATTCTCTCGCCTACCAGGAGAAAAAAAACAGAGTTTAGTAGACACACAACAGACACAAATGTTAAATAATTATGTGAGTAAGGGAGTTGAATCACCTTGTTGTGTCTTCTCCTTCATTTGTCCCATTAAAATGCAAAATGTTGCTTCGTGCCCCTCTAATTCTGTTCCTCTTTGATGGCTGCAGAGAGGTGAATTACATGGTTTAGTGTCTGGCTGTAAAAAGCCAGAGTCAGCATAATGAATCATTAGCCCACCTGGTCAAAGAAATACAAAGGGCCAGTCCTGAGTCCTGTCAGCGCACCAGAGGAAGTCATTATTTCCTAAAACGAAAAATGAATAAAAAAAATATAATCCACTTCTTTCTTTCTTTCTTCTTTCTAAAGATTCCCCACACGCAGATAAAACATAGGGTCACCTTATATGTAAAACATCAACAGGAAACAACCCGTGGTGCTTTTTAAAACCCACCTTTGTCTGTTAATGTGCCTCTGTCCGCTCCGGTTGCTTGGATACACACTTTCTACGCCCGTCTCCACACGGGGCTGCTCGCGTAATGCGCCATTAATGATCGACGCCGAGCATCACATTGGAAATGCTGTCTGTGACAGTGCGAACAACAAAAACATTAGTCACAATGACACAGATAAGGTGTCCAGCGTTTACGGCCATATGGGGAAGTCTTAGGGAGGAGCTGCTGTCACAGGTGTGCGCAGCAGCTCAGACAGGTAACCCGAAACTCTGCGACTGGATGTTCAGAGAAAGTGATGATTATAGCTTGAAGTGCAGCTCTTACAGGCAATGTATCAGGACATGCTGGTCACATAACCTAGCGTTTCAGCCTCCAGGGAGTGCACTGGGGTTGTGTTGCTGTCCTATAACAGATTGTCCCCAAAATACTTTTTTTTTCCTGCAGACAAAAAATAAATAAATAAAAAATCTGGGGATAAATGAAAGTTTTAGCACTTCGGGATGGAGGATCGTCTTCCTCCACTCGGGTCAAGTTGTTGCACAGAGATAGCTCGTTATTGGCTCAGCTTCCTCCAGCACACTTTTCTGCTTTGACCACTGGAGGCTCCCAGCAGCTTATGCGTCACTTCATCTCTCAGTCGCTGATCATGGCGGAGCTACAGCTACAGCGTGAAGTGGAGCCTCAACTTCTCAATGGGGACGACTTGAACGAGGAGAGGGAAGACGCGGACGCCTCGGAATCAGTGAAGAAGAAGAGAAGAAAGAAGAAGAGGAATAAGACCACCGCACCAGGTAAGAGGCGCCACTTTGCGGTTTAGAGAATCGTTGAGGAAAATAGCGCAAAATTGTCTCCTCTGGTTGCCACTCGGTATCGTCAAAGATGCGGGACAGGGGACTTCTCAACCTGTCAGATGGTATTCCTGTCCAGCTGTCCCAACTCTGAGCAGCTGCTGCCGGAGCTGAGGGCGCTCATCTGGAAACGGGACAATCTCTGAAAACCGGAATTTAACCTCAAAACTGATTGAAAGCTGTCATTTGGGGATGTGGGTGTAGTAAAATGTGATTTTTTTTTACTCCAGATTAAATATGTTTTTATCATATTAATCCCCTTAAACTGCACGGAATTATGTAATAGAAGTATCCACAGTTTTAGTGCAATAAGATGACAGCCACTCTTATGCAAAAAAAAAAAAGCATAATGATAATTGCAGCCTTACTGCCTCATAATGTGGAAAACATAAAATCTCTAAGTTGTTGAACCTGCCATAAGTCAAGTGTGGTCCTCACAGCTCTGCCTTTGAAGGGCTAAATGTCATAATGCTGCAAGGTACATATGCCCTTGAGAATATTGACTCTCAAGGTATAGAAAGAATTTATGCACAGACCCTGCCAAGTTGGGCTGCGCTTGGGGATGCACTTTCTTGAGATGACTCTGAACCACAGATAATTTACTCACTCTGTGTGTGTATGTGTGTGTTTGCCTCTGTGCCCATGCATGTGCATGCACACCATTGGTGCACGCGTGCGTGTTCACTTGCACATGCATGCACGAGGGTGTGTGACTTTGCAGCAGGGACAAATGAGGCTGAGGGGGACGGAGAAGCCGGAGGTGTTGGTGATGTGATAAAACAGTTGGAGCAGCAAACACTGGAGGACAAAGAGAAGGAGGAGGATGGAGAAGAAGGTAACTCCTCCTCACCACCACCATCATCATCATCTGCAGTGGAGATTGTGTTGAACTTGAAGCCGCTGAAAAAGCACAGTGAAACTCAGCTGGTCATATCTGCAATGTGATATCTGATTTTCAGTAGCACACTGGGAATCGTGCCCAAGCCTCCTGTCGATATTTCTCACTTTACAAAACTGTATTGAAACTAATGATGCTTTCAACAGATGGAGACGAGGGAGAGAACTCAGCTGGAAAAAAGAAGAAGAGGAAGAAAAAGAAGAAAGGATGTAAGTCATATTTTCTTTGTGCTGCAACAATCAACAACGGACTGCTCTCACGTTTACTTCATTCAGGATTTGAACTGAAACTACTGCAATCCACATCACAGTGACAGAATATGGTCACACAGGCACATCAGATTTAGTGTTTTACTGTGAGATCTACGTCCAGAATTGACAGCATCAGAATGACTCCAGATCATTAGGTAAATACAACAGGTGCACCAAAGCACTTTGACTTGGTTAATTAGTGTCATTAGAGTTGCATAATGCAGCACTGACACAGGAGATGTAGGACAAAATGCGTGAGGACCTTACAAGCCGAGCAGACAGGACACAATGAATGACATCATGCTCAACATAAACACACAATGCCAGTGTTACAGTGTGGAGTGAGGGATCCTCACTAATGTGCTACCTCATACATTCCCCCTTTTATACTGCCACAGATATGTCTAGCAATAAAATCCAGTGGGTTTCTTTTACTCAAGGGTGTCTTACTTAATTAGATCTGTAAGTCAGGAACTGAACTGTGTTCTCTAGTTAAAATATGAATGTCTCGAACATGGGGACGATAACTTGTGTTTTCTTTTCTCTCTCCTGCTGCTTTCCTCTGCTTCTCTGTTTCTCTATCTGGGCCACAGTGAAGGGACAGACTGACCCTCCCTCAATCCCTATTTGTGAGCTCTATCCCAGCGGAGACTTTCCGAAGGGAGAGGAGTGTGAATATCCACCATCGAAAGACGGGTGTGTGACCTCCACATCGTCCCTCATACTCAGCAGTAGTCTTCCACCGTGTGACATGCCTAGTTCTTATATAGGTCTCTCTGCGTTGCTCTTTATTCATATTGGGCAGCACGAGGAGGTGTGATGTTTAGTGTGTGGTTTAATTTCCTCCTCAGGAGCAAATAAATCAATTCTTTCAAGATTTGTCCTCAGTTGAAAAGTATCAGCACCACTTTCACCGGTGCAGAGATTCACCAGTGTCACATCCTCATTACAAACATGTGTATAATGAGAAAATAATGAGTGCTTCAACTCTGCGGTGTGCCTGTCTACCTCCCGCCAGGCGCAGTGCAGCATGGCGGACCACCAGTGAAGAGAAGCGGGCGCTGGACATGGCCAATGAGGAGATGTGGAATGATTTCAGGCAGGCGGCCGAGGCACATCGGCAGGTCCGCTCGTACGTCAGGAGCTGGATCAAACCAGGGATGACCATGATTGACATCTGGTGAGACACGCACTGAAATGTTGTCCTTGAGCCCCCATTTAATGGGCTTTAATCTTGGCCGCCCATACCTGCCTGTGTTGATGTGTTTTCAGCACGTCTTTGTCCCAGCCTGCAAGAAGCTGTTTTAAAACGATCAAAGAAAGCGGGAGAAGTGCTTTGTGGTTTCAACCTCTTCTGGATATATTATCTGTCCTGCCAACAGTCTCATTGTTCCTGTCATCCATTGTCCCTTTGTGCTGCTTTCTGTTTCTGGCAGTGAGAAACTGGAGGACTGCTCCAGGAGGCTCATCAAAGAAAACGGGCTAAAGGCAGGCCTGGCCTTCCCAACCGGCTGCTCAATCAACCACTGTGCTGCCCACTATACCCCAAACGCAGGAGACCCCACCGTGCTGCGCTATGACGACATCTGCAAAATTGACTTTGGAACACACATCAACGGTGAGAGCTTGCTAATAACTTTTTAAGTGCTTTTGGAGTTATGCTGCGCCATTTTACACATGGCATTTATTAGGACACGGTAAAATGATGATTACATTATAATTCTCACTGCTGGAAATAAACTGGTCTTGTAAGTTAATTAAGTTCCACTTTTTTTTAGATTAACACACGCTGAATATTTCTGCAAAACGATCACCTCACAGAAACTGTTATGAATATCCAAACGCTTTGGTCTTTCAGGTCGAATAATAGACTGTGCCTTCACCGTCACTTTCAATCCCAAGTTTGACAGGCTGCTGGAGGCCGTGAGAGATGCAACTAACACCGGCATTAAGGTAACCCAGCCCCACCCACATGTGCACGGTTCTCCTTTGCTCTGCTGGTTTACATTAAGATACCAAAAAATCCCAACTAATTAACAAGGCGCGAGAAATCATATTATATCATATTCAGAGCAGTTCTCACCTGCAATAATGATTAATTCCCAGTAAACACACTAAACACAAGGGTTAAATATGACTGTATGTGAAAATTGGTATGATAAGGTCATTATAAAGTAATGATGCATTTGTATTAATGTTATGTACAACTTAACATGGAGAGGGGGGTACACATAGTAACTAATGTGTATATAATGAGGAAAGGATTAGGTGATTAAGATAAGATAAAAAACATTTATAGTACAAGAACAGATGGTAATAGATTAGAACGTATACTAAAAAAAGGAGGTAGCCATCAAATGCAAATTTGCAAATCATTTTGAGCATGTTCTGTATAAAATATAGAGCAGTTTGTATAAATAGTAACTTAAGTGTATCAAGACTGAAACAATCAAGAGATAAATTAGTTTGAATAAATAATGAAATATAAAAATTGCACTTGATTATATTTTGATTTTGAGCCTTAAATATCTGAACTGGAGTTCAGGAACAACTCATTAAGATGGTCAGAATGCAGATTCACATACATATAAAGGAACTAATGATTAGATACTATTTCTTTAACATAATATCTACGTGTTACTGTAGTGTTTTCAATTTAAAGTTATTTAGGAATTACTATTCATTTATTAGCAGTTAGTTCCTTATTTGTTCCTTATAAAGTGCCTTTGTGGGCTTTACGCTAAACACATCACAAATTTTTTTTACTATCCACACTGTAACACTGTGTACTGATACGAGTGTAAACACTTCTCTGTCTCAGTTTGCAGGGATTGATGTGCGCCTGTGCGATGTTGGTGAGACCATTCAAGAGGTCATGGAGTCGTATGAAGTGGAGATAGATGGGAAAACATATCAAGGTAATATGAGGTCATTTATCATCTTTTTTTCATGTGCAGGTTCAGTGCTCCTTCCTATTAACTAAGCCTCTACGTGGCGTTTTCTTTACAGTGAAACCAATCAGGAATCTCAACGGCCACTCTATTGGACAATACAGGATACACTCAGGGAAGACGGTCCCTATTGTTAAAGGCGGAGAGGCCACGAGGATGGAGGTTTGTACGGCAGTGAATACAGCTTACTAGATTCAACTTAACCTGAGCCAAATGTGGATGTGACAAGATTCTGCAGCGCAAAACAACTCTGCAGCCCTCTTTTTTACAGGAGTGTCTGAAATTAAACCTTTATTAGCTGCCTGACCTTGCGTATAAATAAACCCTTTTTAATTCTTAAGTGTAATTGGAAGAACATGTGGCTGGTTAGGGTTACGACAGGGTGTGGAGAAGTGTTCCAATTCACCGCTCTAACAGCTTTTTAGTCACCCTCGTCAGCACTTTAATTACACCTTTAATGGAATTACCAGCCGCATCGAGTAGCAACACGTGTTCAAACTCCAGCCCCTCATTTCACTGTAAGAGCACTGAATTGTGGGCATCCAGAGTTTATTAACAGGCCGGCGCTTCACCAAGGAGAAACATGGGCTTTGCCCGAGACTGCACTGAGATCCATGCCTGCCTCACACCCGCACAGCTGCTGCACATGACTGTATTTGGACAGAACTGAGCATTTTAATTGGCAAGTTGCTGCGTCAAGGTTTTTACCTGATGGCCCCAGGAGAATAGGGTGGGGGGGTGGGTGCTGCTGATGTGGCAGCTTTGTGCGTTGTATTTTTAGCTGAAGTGTGTTGGTGTAACAGAGGCCATTACCCGCTTTGTGATCAGAGAGTGCACGGCTGGAGTGGCAGG